AAAAGATAAATGAATAGTATGGTAGAAGAGCGTAAGGTACTACTGCTAAGTTTCATTGAAGAAGAATATTAATGTACTTTGGCAACTGACCCAAACCCAAGTCTTAGACTTGGGTACCCAAACCCAAACCCAATACACCCAAGTCGCTTGGATTTGGGTTTGGGTTTGTAACATACCTATACGTGGATACTTTTTGAATAATTGGACAACGAATACGCCAAGAATTTCGACGGCAGTTTAAAGTAAAAACCTAGAGAAATATCTCTGTGGAAAAGCAAGGGTCCCAGCGTACAATTAAAGTCAAAAGAGATTTCTGCGAGTATTTAGGGTTTCAAAAGATCCCCGAAAAGGCCCATCCTCGTCTAAAAACGTTCTCGACTTTTAACGAAGGCCAGTCGATAGAAAAATGTATTTAGAATATACCCTGAAGGTTCGAGATGTTTTGAGTATGTTTTGAAGGATTTATATAGTTTTTATTATTATATGGTATTGGATGGAAAATGTATTTTCAGGTTGAAAAATAAGAAGAACAGCCAATAGGTAGGTCCTGGCAAAATAACTATATCTCCGTACGCTTGCTAGCGATTTTGGACTTGTGTGGACCGATGAAAAACACTCTTTTGATTATATGTCCGTTAAAAAAGAATGAAACTGACAATGAAAATTTTTTGAACAGAAAAAGGTTAGAAAACGATCGATATCATTTGCAGTAATGCTAGGACTTTTGTTTTTCCATAGGTATGTTGCTCAAAGTTTTTACTTTAAAATGCCCAAAAGTCGAAAGTGGAACTGTTAGTTTATTGCACGACTCTATCTAATGAGGTATTGCCATTATAATGCATCACTACTATCCCGTTGTTCGCTCAAAACGCGGAAATGGCCTCCTATTAGAATCTTAGAATATATGGATAGGTTTATCTCTAGCTCTTTTTACGTCTGAGTTATTCAAAAAGCGGTCACGCAGACTCTATCGTAAAATGGATCGTATTTAATAGTCGTCTGGAGCTGCATACAAAAGAGTTTTCAAGTTAGATGGTTCAGTAGATTTTTTTTTTAGGAATATGTAAAGACGAATTTTGCACGAAATAGCAGTTCTTTTTGGTTATCCGAGGCTTCCGTGAACCGGCATTTCGAATTTCTGCTGATGCAACTTAGATTAGAGTTGCTAATCTATACGACGAATTATCGCATTTACTTTCACTGTCCAATCTCACACCCTAACTTCTGACCTTTAACCAACTCAAAAGTCATTTAAACCTGTATTCGCACACAGTTCGTGGAAGAATTATTTCTTAAGATTTTTTTCCACTTCCTATAATTTTGCCTTCTGTTTTATCGTTTTAGAGATGATGATGATGCAATTGAATACTGTGAAGTTGAAGAATGTAAAGATTATGTTCAATCTGTCTGTAATCACTGTCAACAAAATCTGTGTGAACTACATTTAAACGAACATCGACGATTAATACAAACACAACTCGATTTATTGGCTAATAAAATCAATGATGTATCTCAAGAAATGAATTCTCGAACATTGGAACAATTAGCTAAAAAACCATTCGAAGATTTAGAACAATGGAAAAGTGAATCTTATCATCGAATTGAACAAAAATATGAGGAAAAGTGCCGAGAAGTCGAAGTACTTGTAGAACAAAGTAAGTCTGAGTACATTAATAATATGAATAAGAAATGGAAGATGATTGATGTGATCAAAGATGAACTTGCACAAAATTCGCAAAACAGAAATTGTAGCCAAAAACAAATAGATAAAATTACACGCCAAATGAATACGACCGTAAAACGTATAAGTATGTTTAATGATCAGTTTATTCTTGCACATTGTCAACAGATAAAAATTTCATCTAATTCCATTCAATTTAAATCAAATATAATTCAAAAACAAATCTCTTTAAAATTCGACCATCAAGGATATTCTTTGAAAACAAAAGAAACCTGATCCCCATCTGCCCATGTAGAGCATCATCTATTATTTAAAAGTCAAATAAGACGTATTGAATTTAATATCGTTCTTCTCTGTTAGTGTTGATATGACAGAACATGTTCATAGTATTTTTTTCATTATTCTTTTACGAATCTCATCAAATTAACTTTGAAATTTCCACATGGTGTGGTAATCCTGACTTTTTGCTTCCAGTGGCACCAATTTTTTCGTATTTATAAACACGTTCGAAAGATTAAGAAAGCCCCAAACGGTAGTTACTATGGTGACTTTAGAAAACGTACAACATGAAAACTGACAAATGTATTTAGTAAGTGCATGCATGTTCGTCAGATTTAGCTTAATTAGCCGAGAACTTAACTTCTATATATACAAATTATTTTTGGATCTAACTTCTGCAGAAATAGTGGGTTTTGGGGGTTAACTCAAAGTCGTCAGTTCAGTTCAGTTTATTTTAATATATGTGTGACTGTAACAAAGAGAGAATCTCACGAAACTTCTATAAATGCTAAAACAGAAGAAAACAAATTGAACATTAAGCAATCTAAAAATAAGAGTCGAAACTTCGCAAATTTCTCTTGTGTTTTGATAATCGCAAGTCTCGGTTTAATGTTTGAAAATGACGGCAGAGCTTGTGATCATCATTTAATAAAGTGAAATTTGGAACTTTTTCTTGTAGTTTTATAGAACAAAGAAAATTTTCGAAAAATTAGTAAATCAGGATGAAACTGCAAAGAAAAATAATTGAAATAGAATTCGAATATTCGGTTTGGTTAAGTCATAACTACAAGTGTTCTCGTCATTTTGTGAGTAAACCAGATCCTATAGTACTCAAAAGTCGAAAGAAAATCTGGAGGAACGACAACGCTCACTTTTTGACCACTATTTTTGAGATAACGCTAGGAAAACTTAGATTTTTTCCGTCTGAAAAACCAGTACTTTGTCGAAAACGAATTTGCTAATCTAAGTAAAACAAAACGTTTTCATATTTCAGATTAAGGAAGTTAGTTTGGTTTTTGACAACAGTCTTCGAGAGCAGGACTGGTAACCTCTACTATGTGAATATTCTGTTCGTTTTTCTTTCTTTTTGGATGTTTGTTGTACTAATATCGGTGCCAAAACAGAAGACCAGTTATTATTTTTTGAATAACTCAAAAGGAATAAAAGATAGAGACTTGCGATTTTGATCATTCGCTAGCGAAGACCTAAAGCTATGTTTTCATAAGCAAAAACAAATTTAGAAAAAATTTCAAGGAAACCAGTACATGGGTCGGAAGCTATGAAAGTTTTTCCTGAAGCCTTAGCTCTCCGTTAGTTTTTTACATCCACTTACTTGGGCCAACTCACTCTGTCACACACAGACAAAAACAGGAAAAAATTTAAAGCAACACAAAACAAACAAAAAGAATTGAGGAATTTAAAAAGCAAAAAACCTGGTTGGAGAAAGAACACCGTAATTAATTTTCACTGAATGTGTAACTGACCTTCCCAAGCAAAAACGACCCAATTTTTGGGTTATTTATCTAGATTCAGGTCCACGTGCATCTAGATGTACGTGGAGCTGAATCTAGATAAATAACCCAAAAAATTGGGTCGTTTTTGCTTGGGTTAGACGGTTTGAGCTTAAAATATTGAGTTTATGAATCAAAAAGTAGGTATCCATGCGTTCCAGGTGTCTTCTCCAATTCTAATAATAGAAACTTCGAGGTGGTGTCAAAAATGGTTTCGACTGACCAAAAGAAAATATATGACCAGCCAACCGGCCGGTCCGGTCAGAATTTTTTAGATCAGTTACCGACCAGTCGAGAAAATGTTGAACGGTTACATCTATGCTAGATAGGACTAACATTCTATGAAAATTTTGTCAAGCGATTCTTAAGACCAGGAAGCGAATCTGGATATTTAGTTAAAAGTAAACAATGTCATTTGCAATTTCCACTTGTTCAAAGCGTCGACGCTTTAGGGAAAAATTATCTGTTCAGTTGATCGATTTGATCTAGTTACTCTTCTTTCAACCGATTCCAACTTACAGTTTATCACTGAAGTCGAACTGTCATGTTGAGAAATAAACAAATTGGTATTATTTTTGTATTAACTAGATTATCAGTTGTGAAAGCAATAAAAATCTTTAATATTGATTTACTTTGTTCAGTTTTCTTTTGTATTTGCTCCTTTCTCTCCCTTTAATGAATGTCTTTAATGATCAATGTCTTATCATATACGCCAAATTCTATAATACAACGACTGAATGATATAAGTGAGGACTACTATGCTCTAGCATCAAGTGGACATTCATTGTTGGTTGAATGTGGTCTAAAATTATGTTTATATGATCAAAGATTGAATTCGACAGAAATTTTATGGAATTGGGGTTTGATTAGTGATATCTGCTGGTGTGAACAATTGCATTTGTTTATTATTGTTACAGTGGTAAATGTTTACATATTTGACGAAACAAAATTGATAATAGATCAGATTGAAACAATTCAACCATATAAAGCAGAAAAAAAGTTTTGGGGTTGTACGTGTACCGATCAAGATTTGTTTATATCCTATAAAGGTTGTGATACACGTATAGATCAATATGCTTTAACAAAAAGTTATTATTTTATTCAACAATGGAAACATTTATGTTCACGACGTGGGATTATTCGAGACATGCGTTGTACTCTCGATAAAAAACAATTATGTCTATTAGTTTCTACTGAAAATGATTGGCGTCTAGATGTGAGAAATTCAGGGACGATGGAATTTATATGGTCAAGATTCTTGCTAATAAATTTAGATGCTCGATGTAGATTATCGATGTTACCAAACAGTGAATCTCTGATTATAAACTGGAATGAAAACAGAATTTTTCGTATTAATGGTAATAGTACGCTTGTAGAAAAAAAAGATTATAAAACCAATTATTTAGTTAGAAATATCGAGGTGGTTGGATTTGCATATCTTGTTGTTTATACAAGCACTGGATTGTATATATATGAAATTTAACATTTACTGAATATTTTCAATTCTCTTTTACTTTTACATATAAATAATACGTTCTTTTTCTTGTCGGATAAATCAAAAATAATCTCGAGATGTGTGACAGTTCAAGGCTTATTGAACTCTCTCAGTTTAGTTCCTTCAAATCGGAACTATAGTTGTTTTTGAACGAGAAACTACTGATGCGCTCGTTTTGGATGCTCTGCTAATTTATCACGCATTTATATAGCAAAAATTTTAAGAAATCAAATAGAACAAGTAAATCTAACAAAGTACTAAGAACGAAATCACCAACATCGTTCAAAAACATAAATATTTATATAATAACCCATTTTTGGCTATTTTCATCAAAAACGAAAAAATTCATAACTCAGTCAAAATCCATCAAAGCTACCTCAAAATATCAACATAAGCTCTATTTTGTCCGCTCAA